GACTCATTGGCTGATCCGACACAGGCTGTAATTGTAGCTGCGGTTCTGCTGTAATTTGCCCTGTCTGCTTATTTTCCTCCGTCTCTGTGCGGCGTGGGCCGTTCATGAGGATCCGCTGGGTTCCTCTGAGATGCTTCTGGAGGTCGCTCAGAGACCCTGAAGATCAGACCCCCTGAATCCAGACTGAATCTGGAATTCATGCCTGGATCGCTCTTTGCTTCACTTTTGAACTCATGTTTTATTTTAGAGTGGTTAGACCATTAGAGTGATCCATCACCAGTAGCGGACATCAGGCCGGTTTGTGTTTGTATGTGAACCGTTCTAGACTCCACATGAACTTTACTGGATTCCTCTCGTGTTGAGCGTCACGCGCAGGGAATGCTGGGAAGTCCTGATTTCTCATGGTGTTTGCGTGAATCTGCTGATCCGGCGTTTCTCAGCATCACAGTCTCTCTCAGCTGTTCGAGCGTCTCGCGTCTGAGGTCAGACAAACACGCAGGTCCTCCAGATCTCTCCTCTGAAGATATTTTAGCATCTTAATCGAGGCTGTCGTCTGAAGTGTCATTGTAATGTTTGCATTGACGTCTATAAACGGATTCAGCAGGCGCTTGATGTGATTCAGCTCTAAAGTCTCAGTCGATCTCATTTACTGCCTGTCAGCTTTATGGACCTTCCTGATCCACACATGGAAACTAAATGAGATTAACCTGCCTTATTTATTTACTTGTTTACCTATCTATAATTATTTGCTTATTTTTGGGTCACAATGTGATTCGATAGATTAGATGAGATTGTATTAGATTAGAAGTAACATTAGACTATCAGATGTTCATGCGGATCGATCATCAGGCCGCTAGTGAAGGTCGTGGGTTCGAGTCTCTGCTGTACGTCTTGAGGTTCGAGTCTGATCCGTATCGAGCAACATGAGCTCCTCTGCGGATGATACTGACAGACACTAGTTAACATAACCAAGAGCTTAAAATGAGAGGCAACCACTGGATTTTAATCATGATCCAAACAAAGAAGCAGCGTGCATGCAGCATGAGCAGTTTTTAATCTAAATTAGACTATCATTTCGAAATTTGAAGCAAAAACAGAATCGTCTGACTAGTTTTGTGAAACTATACTAGGGCTGTAGCTATCGGTTATTTTAGTAATCGAGTATTCTACAGATTATTCCATCGATTAATCGAGCGATCAGATAAGAAGTCATTTGCAATACTAAATATACAAGAGATAATAAGATAGATCTCTTAAAATAATCAACTTTGTTTTCTTTTTAGAAAAATTTACATTTTTATTGCTGAAATTGCATACATTAATAACCGTGAAAACTAAACCCATTTAATGTATTTAATTGCCAAATTACATTCAAAATACAAATATATCAATAAAAAAATTATAGTAATACCTAAACATTGCATTTATGTCGTGCAACTTAACTTTCAAGGTTCAGCCTAACTAAAGCTCAAGCATGACACAAGCCTTTACTGTCTTCTTGGAAGGCTTTGTGGCTTTTGTGAGGCAAACATCAGTGGAGAGGAAGATAACTTGGAACAAGAAGAGACCATACACAATTTTTAAACACATTTTTCTGCAACATGAAATTAGAGTTATTTGGAGAATAAACCCTCTTAAATGTCCCTATACGTACTGGTGTGTGTGTGTGTGTGTAAAACTTGTTTTTGATATTTCATATTCTGTGTGCGGGTCAGGTCACAGCAGTGATAGAAATTAATCTGTTCCAATAAGTTTAAATAGATTTTTACATTTTATGGGCATTTTTACCTTCATAAAGCCTTTTTTTTCTAAAAGTGTGCATCATCTTTTAAGTCAAATTCTTACATTTAATCAGTCAATTAGAATAAAAGACATTTGGGCTGTTACCAAACAAATGATATCCGTATCAAAATTCATCTTTGCAATGCAGAGAAACACAGAAGCTGCACGGGAGGAGTTTCCCACACAGAGGGACATGAATGCATTTAACCTGAACTTACAAATGCATAAATAATATTTTGTTATTTTAAACATAAAACGTTGAATACTGATATTTACAATTATTTTAAAAATGAAAATATACTTTAAATGTGAAGTTAAAACCGCCAGCAGGTGGCAGCAAGTCACTGTTAATAAGTGAGTCACTGCGACTGAACCGAATCATTTAAACGAGTGATTCATTCAGGAACGAATCACCGTCGTGTTGCTCAGAGACACACAACAGCGCTGTGGCTGTGTTTGGAATTTTTTTGTTGGCAAAATAAAGCAAAAACAGGCAATATAGTGTCTAAAACGTAAGTCTCTTAATATTACCTTCTTGTTTATTGAACTGTTAGATAAAATCACATTTGTAATCATGCTGATTTTAGAGGTGAAAACTGGCACTCTTCGTGTGATATTGACTAACTTTCTTTCTGTGGTATTTTTATGCACAATGGCGCTTAGTCTTTCACAAAACATAGCTAACGTAGGGACATTATAACTAGCCACCATATTGATTTACAGTCTTAAATATGTTCAGCGCTTTTTTTAAAAGTCTGGCCCCTGTTTTCATACAGTCTATGGTCTGGTCCAGCGTTTATCGGGTTGTGCGTCAGTAATAATGGTCCGTGGGGAAAAACGGTGTTCCGTGTGTAGTTACAGTACACGGAATCGTTTCAGCCCGAAAACAACACTGTTAATATGCATCGTTCAGAGGCAAAATGAAAAGAAAAAGCCATTTAAACTTTTCTAAAGACAGTCAGTTCCCCTCAGAGATACATTCAGATAAACTCCTACTCCAATTGTATCGCGATTTTTATGTTGCATCACATATTTGAATCGATTTTCAACCAGCTCGCGGTTCATCTTTACATCCCTAGTCGTTAATAGATTTCACTTTTAGAAAAGAAAGCAAAATAAAGTGAAAGTGTTGAGTGCAGTAGTTCATCACTGTTGTCTAGATTAATTACTAGATTGTCTAGATTAGATTATTTGATGAAGATCACCATCTGATCTGCTGAAAAATGGCACACTGAACAAATAAGCTACATATGGTACTACGGTAAATATTTTGGTACTCTGGTACTGTTGTAGTGCTGGTGTTTTGAACATCAGGCTGTACAGACCTGAGTGTGTGTGTGTGTGTGTGTGAGAGAGAGTGTGTAGAGTGTGAGCGTGTGATAGAGTGTGTGTACGAGTGCGTGTGTGTGCACGAGTGTGCGAGTGTGTGTGTGTGTGTGTGTGAGAGAGAGTGTGTAGAGTGTGAGCGTGTGATAGAGTGTGTGTACGAGTGTGTGTGTGTGTGAGAGAGAGTGTGTAGAGTGTGAGCGTGTGATAGAGTGTGTGTACGAGTGTGTGTGTGTGTGAGAGAGAGTGTGTAGAGTGTGAGCGTGTGATAGAGTGTGTGTACGAGTGTGTGTGTGTGTGAGAGAGAGTGTGTAGAGTGTGAGCGTGTGATAGAGTGTGTGTACGAGTGTGTGTGTGTGTGTTTGTGAGTGAGTGAGTGTGTGTGTGTGTGAGCAAGAGAGTGTGTAGAGTGTGAGTGTGTGATAGAGTGTGTGTACGAGTGTGTGTGTGTGTGTGCACGAGTGTGAGTGTGTGTGTGTGTGTGCGAGAGAGTGTGAGTGTGTGATAGAGTGTGTGTTTGTGTGTGCACGAGTATGAGTGTGCGAGTGTGTGTGTGTGTTTG